TTAGTTTCAAAAGTCTCATCTCAAAGTTTTGAAAGGCGACTCAGATCAGTTTTTGTTTGAAATGGAATGATCAATTGTGTTTTGTTTGAAATAGAACAATCACTTTTGAATTCTTTGTATTGCAAGGGTCAAAACAAACCAAAGAGAGAGTAACTTTGAAATCAGCATACATCAGGTAGTCTTAGACAAGTATCATATATTTGTTTTGTGGAAGGACTTGGGTTATTTGGGTGTGTTGTGTTGGCAAGGAAGGGGAGGGGTTGGTTGAGCCTATATCAAACCTGACTATTTTTTTCAACAAACGGGTGGTCAGATCTAGCTGATTTCAACCCATGTGAAAAAACCCATGAAAAAAACCCATAAAGAAGTTGGGTTTTCATGGGTTTTTTTTATGGGTTTTCATGTTGGGTTGTAGGTTTGTACACTGCTATTGCCTGTCTCATTTGATTAGCTATGAATTACACATACTTTTTACAGCTCGAAAAACTATGAAGTTTACCTGATCCACCAGTTTGAAACTCAAAAGCTTTGAACTTGACCCCTCTTACTACATCCAATATATCCAATATATATTACAATATATAGAATATATACAATATATACAATTAGGGTACTCAAAGCTGTGTATACTTTGGTATACTTTGCTTTACATAGTTTTTGTTCTTTTTGAACAACTACATACAACCAGGAAAAACTTTGTTTTTGGCTTGGAAGTACATATTTTAGAGCTTCAAACAAAAGACATACTTTGTTGGGGTCGTGTCTAGCTACAAAAAACAACAAAAACTTTACATGACCAAGTATACACAGCTTTGAGTACCGTAATTGTATACACGGTATACACTGTATATATTAGATATACTGCACATATGCACTATATGGGATAGATTGTATAGATTGTATATATTTTATATATTGTATATATTGTATGGATTTTGATAATTGCCACAGGGCTTACACTCATTTGGGAAGAAGAACCATTCCGCCCATGCTGTCTAAATACAGTTGGGAGGAAGAAATTTTCTGCCCAAACTGTATTGAAGTTTCAAACTGGGAAAATCCCATTTTCAAATACTTTTTCAAGGATTTTGCTAATTGTATATATTGTATACATTGTATACATTGTATACATTGGATACATTGTATACATTGGATATATATTGGATACATTGGATATATTGAATATATTGAATATATTGGATATATTGGATATATTGGATATATTGGATATATTGAATATGTTGAATATATTGGATATATTGAATATATTGGATATATTGGATGTAGTAAGGGGGTCAAGCTCAAAGCTTTTGAGTTTCAAACTGGTGGATCAGGTAAACTTCATATTTTTTTGAGCTGTCAAAATTATGCCTAATTTGTAAAAAATCAAATGAGACAGGCAACAGATTTTGACATGTTTGTGATTATTTGAATGATAAAGGAAGTAGATATTAAGGGGTTTCAAGTTTGAATTTTTTATACGTTTTTTTAAAAATTTGGTCAAGTTCTATACAACACCATAAGATTTTAAACTTGAACATTTGTAAAAATCCAGCACGGTGGATAATTGAGGTCGTAAAAGAAACTTGACCGTTTCAATACCCAAGCTTTTGATAACTCAACCTTGGAATAAAGTGCTTGGTGCTGAGGTTCTCTTGGAAATCCAAGAAAACCTTTCTGCTCATGTAAAGACAGGTAAAGAAGAGAGGAAAAACTTGACCGAATAATTTTTATGTGTATGTTTACGCTAAATTTGAAACGGGAGACATAAAAAGGTCGACTGTTTTAAAAATATTGTACGTAAAATTTACAACTTTGTCCAAGTTTTTAAAACGTAAAATCAGATAAAAAATCAGACTTGAAACCCCTTATTGGGTATTGTGAAGATACAAAGTCCTCCAAATCTAAATAACTTGCAAACAAAATTACAATGAGCTATAAGCTAGGAGAAGTCTGATGTATATGATATTCACATCACTAACAGGATAAAAGTCCCAAATCCATCCTGTAGTAATATATAGTACTATAGTAGTGATGGCATTAGAAGTACTAGTACTACACTACTGATAGCATCAGAGGTACTAGTACTATAGTACTGATAGCCTTTGAAGTACTATAGTACTTCAGCTAACAGTCCGGTAGTACTTTAGTACCATAGTACTGATAGTGATAATAGTACTATGGGACTATGGCTAATAGTCCTTTAGTACTATAGTACTATAGCTAATAGTCCTGTAGTACTATAGTACTATAGTACTGATAGCATTAGAAGTACGTTAGTACTGTCAGTACTATAGCTGATAGTGCTATAGTGCTATATATATCTAATAGTTGTGAGGGTAGTGACCCTTTTGAAGGAGGCTACACTCACTAAAAGGGTGGTAATGGGACTAGGTATGTATTGAAGGATAATAATAATTATTATATTTCAAAATATAACTAGTTACAAGAGTAAAGGGGGATGAGAGAGAGAGGCAAGTGGGAAGTTGATATGAGGATGAGGTGAGTGGATGATAGTTAAACAACTAAGAGTCTGCTAAGACAAATCCTGGCAGACTACAGTTAGTTGACTCTTAAAGAAGAGGTTTGATTTACAATTAAGTAAGGGATGAGAACAGGATCCCAATGTTCTCCAATATCCTTCTTGGTAATTGGATAAAGAGTGATTATGAAGATCACTAATCTTGGTTATCTCTTAGAGGTCACCGACCTGTTTGGTTATTATCTTGGAGGTCACCAACCTAGTATAAAAACTACTTAGGGGAAGTAGAGGATCCAGAAGGGAAGTGTATAACTTACTTGGATCTAGTCTGGAATAATCAAGGTAGTATAGAATGAATCACTACTAGTATTACTATTTGTAATACTCTTGATTATTATTCTATTGGAACTCTTGATGGTTCTTTAGAAATAGGTATGTATAAACTTGGTTCTTCTCTGAGGATGAACTGAGTTTTGGTTTATATATTCAGCTCTCTAAACCTAATATTGTGATATACACAAGTGTTACAATATTAGGTTTATAATTATTATTTTTATTATTTCTTATGATTACTTACACTCAATGTTATGTTCAGTAATCATCAAGTGTTTTATGCCATATAAGCATTCTTAACTCTTGATACTCAGTTATGAGATGTTACTATTGTTTTTGTATGTAATCTTATATGTTATATATTAGTTCTTGATTATGTATATATGTAATTAGTGTTTTAGACATATTTTATTACATGTTACATATGTTTCTATGATATATGTACATGTACTTGAGTTTTATGAGTAATATTTATATTTACAGGTTAGTCTTTGGGTATATGTGTATGTACCCAGGGCTGACAATAGTCCTATAGTCCTAGAGTACTGTAGTACTATAGCTAATAGGCCAGTATTATTCTCATCACACAAGCCTCCAAAGTTGGAAGTACATATTCTATGTGAAAGCTTCATCTTGCTTACTTCACATGTTCCAAACATTTGAAATGCCTCAGAACAGTTTACAGAGACATAGTGGATCCTTTAAGGTATGACAACACGTTCAACTCTTTCTGCAGGCCAATTGGATGGGTAGAAAGAAATATATAGTATGGCTGACAGGTCATGCTGAGAATTAGAATGCAACTTATAGTAGAAAGGGTGAACCTTACTGATTGTGAAAAGTGGTGCATAGATCCCTGTATAAGCAACACATACTACACGGCCAAAAGCAGAATAAAGTAACACATTAGGATTGGTAGAATGACATGATAATACAAGATGTAGAATTTGTCCACAGCTCCCTTACATCAGATTCTGTACATAGGTGTCATTTGATTTGATGTAGCAGTAGTGACAGGAAGATCTTTAATGATACCATCCAATTGAGGATCCTTCAGAAACAGGGTACCAACATCTCATAATAAAAACAAAGGGAATCACGTGAATATCAAGCATCAATTTTACAAATCAAACAACACACAAACCACTGGTATGTCAATCAGGCAAATCAATGAGCTCAAAGCTAGTGTAATTGCAACAAGCATTGTTAGTGGAGGGATGAAAGGTGAACAATAACTCAAAATATGTTATTTTTGAATCTGTGAATGTGGTGAATATTTCCCGGAGAGTATTCAATCTTTGTACGGCCTACTGTAGCTACAAGACAACAGATAATTAACAAGATTGATTTTCAAAAGATGTGATCATCAGGTTGAACAAAGAGTATGTGGACCAAATTGATACAGGAGCAGGCCAAATAAGCGGGTCAAGTTTAGTGCAGACTTAAGCAGATTGGATGAATCTTCAGATGAATGAGCCACAGCCAGCATTTTTGAAATGATGCTTACAACAAAAAGATTGATATGGAACTAATGACAGAGGCGGAGTAATGGAGCGGAGTGATAACATCAAACAGCAAACTGTACGGAAGAGAGTATGAAAGAAACAAATGGCCTTCATAATTACTGTTCCAAGCATGGAAATGAAGACTATACATATTTTGGGTAAAGAAAGCAAAAGACATAAGAATGGTGGAGACAGCTGAGTGTTATTCATAAAAGGCTATAAGCAAATAAATATGGCAAAGAGGTTCATATAATTGGCTCTGAGGACCAAGACTGACCAAGTTGATGATGGATGCTTTTGGAAAACAAAAAATATCTCAACAGGTTCACTGTAGATGCTTTATGTGTAGACATGCTGTAGCACGAAATGCAACACCCAAAAGATGTAAGGCATTATACGGTGTTAAGAATACTTAATTTGCAAATGGAACAACAGCAAAAATCAAGTAAGACATCAGCAGATTGTTAGGTGAATGTAGTAAGGCATACAAATGTGTAATTCAAGTCCACTTTTAATGGGGATGTAACATTCTTTTGTAGTACAGAGCTGGTATACAAAGAGGGACCAAGTGAAATGGCTGCATTCAAATTCACTAAAGTGGTTCATTGGTATGAGGAATGTGCAAAATAGGAAAACAGTATGTTACATAGAATTGCAGGACACAGGGATGACTTTTAAAAATGACATCAGAAGTTAGTTTGCGCAAAGTCAGCGTACAGAAAAAGCTTTTTGTGATGCACACCTTTGTTGTTGTCCAGCATCGCAGTATGAATGTTGGTTAGTGTACAAAAAGATGGATGAACAAGATAAATGGGAAAAATCCATTAAGCTTGATTGTTGCACAAATAAGTGAATGAATGAAAAAGGGAAAGCAAAAGCATTAACTATGTCAGTGACACGGAATAATCAAACAATAACAAATATACAAGCACTGCCGCTTGCTGCAGAATCACATTACAGGCCAAAGAAAAAGATATAAAAGGAGCACAGGCTTCCACAGAAATTGAGGTCCTCAAGCCACCTTGTGACTACACTGTAGAAAGTGAGTCATAACCAAGCTCTAGCCTACCTAAATCTGTTATCTTCCCACCAAAAGGCTGAAACTCTTTTACAAGTTTCAGTGCTTCCGGGGGGGATTCCAGATTTAGTTGTAGGAAATTTATTTCTTTAATTTCAAGTTCAATTTTATGTTCAAAATCTTGAATTAAGCTTTGATGTTCAATAGAATTGGAAATAGGTTTAATTGAATCATATGTGTTTTTAATATGGTTTCCATAACCTTTCTTCTTTCTAAGTATATCCATTGAACAAACCCAATTAAATTTCTCTGGTGCTAATCCTACAATTTCTCTAATTGTGGTTGTTCTGATTGCAAAGTTTGGGAAGTTGAAGTTGTTTTGGTATGGGATTTCAGTTCGGCCTTTGAAAAATTGATTAATAATTCTCTTGTACTTGATAATAATCTTCGGTTTTCTAAAGTTGCATACAAAGGGTCAAACAAGTACGTTTGATACTTAGGAAATTGTGAAACTCAAGTGCAGTATAAATCCATTACTCTTCAAGTAATGAAGACTATATCATCCCAATCACTTTGTTCACAAATTTATGAACATTTTCCTATGTGTACAAACAAACCAACTCTATAATGAATGAGAAAGAATATATACAAAACCGCAAGTTTGTGCATATGATTGGTATTTCAAATTGGAGGTCAAGTCCATTTAGTTTCCAAAGATTTGAATGGATTCTGGAAAGCTTTGAAACATAATTGAAAAGAGCTCACACACAATAACTTGGAATTTGATCACAATTCTAGAAGGGTTTGATATGATCATAACATTGAAGATTGATCCATTTGACTGGATACAGAGTACATTGTCTTTGATCAATAATCATTAGAACATGGTACCAAATGAATAAAAGAAAGAGACAGAAGATGGCGATTGTGATTGAAAGTGGAATAGCTAGACTGGCATCATTCTATTTTCCTTCCCTTGGTACACTACATGGTATATTGTATAACACAGTCTACATAAATTTAACTGAAAGTATATGAATCTTTCCTCTACATTATTCACTTAGAAGATATCCTTAACTTACACAATAAAACTTTACCTCATCTGAACCTCGACCACTGTCATCTTGCCTCTCTCTTGGTTGGTTTTCTAAGGTCATCCCTGAAATCGTTTTTCCAGTATGAATATCATGATACAATGATTCTCTTATATACCTCACCATAAGAAAAAAAGGGAATTAATGGATTACACAAATAGGTTTTTAGAAAAGTTATGTACATTTTGAAGATGCTCATCAAGTTCTTCAATAGCTTTCTGTGAAGGTCCTAATGGTAGTCCAGTCACAGCCAACATAGGTGTGGGTAATCCCTCTTGTTCAGCAGTGATGCTGGTCACCTTGGATGGTAAAGAGATAGGAGGGAATGCAATTGAACCTTGTAATCCGATATGGAACAAAAGAGTAAGAGCCCGAATATCCAATTGGTAAAAGTTGGGCCAGGTATCTTCAGAAGCTGGTAAACGAGCTGCGACCAAGGCAGCGACTACCACACCTTGAGAATGGCCCGTGAGACCGCCCAAAAGTTGAGCGGAAAGTCATTGGCACTGAGACCTTGTGTACGTCTAAAGGTAATGTAATGAGCAAATTGGACTAATTGGATGAGAGGAAATGAGATAGCACAAGTGGCTAGGTAAGAGTCAGGTGGTTTGGTGTTCGGTTCGGTTACCACTGAAAACATCAAACATGTATCAGAACAAGCTTTGAATAAGAGATGTTCAATGAGGTACTTACATCGAGGATATGAATGCCGTAATCTTTGTAAAGTGAATTACTGACATTGGCCGATCGAGCAAGTTTTACCAAAGGTACATCCGCAGTTTGAAGGTAAGGATGCAATAATGTTAAATTCTGTCATTCAGGCGGAACAAATTCAGGAGTCATATTTGAGTTTGAAACTTGAATCCAAGACGAAAATGATCAAAACCAAGAGGAAGAATACCACTAGTTCATCCCAATAAGTTTCATTCACACCTCGACCACCAAACAGACCTAAGACTTTCTTACCAATTTCATCTTTCCATAATTTACCTACGATAGCCTTTGGCAAATCGGGATGAGATTCCAAACTGATTCTATGAAGATGATAAGATTTATTGATTTGTTTACGAGCTTCTTCAGAATTGATTTTGAGTTGAGCTAAAGAATGAGGATCAAGATGATTACATTTCAAAACAGTTTGATGAAAATGAGTTATAGCAGATAAAGTAAGTAATTGATCTGTAGAACGACTAGATAAGAATCCAAGGTGGTGCGATCATAAGATCAGACTAGCTTCATCAATAGTTTTAGAAAGTTGATTCGATTTTTTATTTTTGATCTCAGCATCATCTTGTTGTTGTTGTTCTCGACTCTGAATGATTCAATTTGAAGGTGATTGAGTTTGAAGTTCAAGCCGAGAATTGAAAGCTTCTCTAGAAATGATTATTTCGCAAAGTTTCTATATGATGAACTCGGAGAAAGATGGACTTGTGAGTGTTGGGTCAGTGGAGAGATGGATTGAGTTGGATATGAGAACTAAAGGTTTGGATGAAGGCAGGATTCAATCGGTTAAGACTGTTCCTTCCGAGCCAAGTGAGTATGAAATTCGACTTGATATTGAATTTCCCTCCCTTGATATCGCGGAGATCGAAATCATCGGCTACTTAATGGCTCGGTGGTATTGGGTCGGATGAGGTCAATGGGTCGGTGAAGAGTCGGTTTGATTGGGTCGGATGATTATCTCGGTGGAGATTTTCCTCGACTCATCGTCGGATCCTTTATGTCGGTTCATTAATGTCGCTTGGAAAGGTCGGTGGTGTGTCGGATGATATAAGTCGAATGACACCTCGGATACAAAATCCGAGGACTCCTCGGATTTTGCTATCCGAGGCAAATATGTTGGCAGTGTTGTCGGATGGGGACAATGATTGTGTCATGCAATCATTACTTGGAACAGACATTGCCAAAGGATATCCATATGGGTGGATGTAAGGTGATGTGAGAGGAGATGAGATACTTTTGAAGAAAGTTTCCAAGATAAGTCTGGTTGGGATAAATCTCAACCAAATGTGATTTTGTCAAGGATCCCGGTATCCCCACCACCCCCCCTTGGTAGCCTCACCACCCCCTCCCTTTCACAGCTAGTGAAAGTGTTACTTACCAGTGACACAAGCTGTGACAGTAACACAGTCTCCAGACGTCCGTCTTCCGCACTCGAAGTTGCCTGGAGCATGTTTTCTCAAGTTTTCTCAAGTTTTTTCACACAAAATCCTAGATGAATCAACAGACGAGATGAATCAAGATTACTCCGATCGATTGAAAATGAAGACCAAATGAAAATCAATTCAACAGACCGATTGAAAATTAAGAATGAAGATAAATTAGTGAGAACGATTCAAACCAGAACCAGAACAATAGAATGAATTGTGTCGAGTGGTCTTTTTCATCCCGTACTACCTATTCTACAGTTCTTCTAGAGAAACTATAGATCTTGATGAATTTGTTGATTTACTAGGTATGGCATTGAAGCGGGTAGATTACAAGAAGCCATCAATCTTTTAAAAAACAACATGGGAAACAACAAATCGAATGCTGAGATCGAATTACAACCCTATACGATTGCCTTCAAAGTTTCCGAACGCTTTTTAAAGAATTTAGAAGACATTATAGAAGAGCACGACGAGATAACGATTTGATTTTTTACCGTGTAGATTCAGTAAGTAGCTCTTTTCAACGGAAAATGTTTATCCTCTTTGCTCAATCACATCAATCATTATCAGAGTCATTCATTATCAGATACAAAGGACTGAAAGTTGTAACAAATTAAGAAATTCTACTGAAGTAAGAGGCATGAACTCAAGTGATACTTGACATATTCATGACCCGTTCAAAACCAAGCATGTGAGCCAAATTAGCAGCCGCTTCAAAGTCTCCAAAAGCCACTATCGAATATTTCGGTTTATAAGAAGGCAATAAACAAGTAGAAGCTAAATCAGCTCTCATTTGAGTTTCTTGATGAATTGAGTTGTAAATGGAAGAATGTAAATGAAGACTAAGACTGCTTTGAAGTTGTTGCCTTTGAATGCTGATTGAATCGAACTTAAGCAAAGTTTGTTGATTGTGCTGGGTCACGACACGTTCTTTTGTTGTGACCTGTCCCGTGGCATTGACTACATCGACGACCTTCATGTTCGGCATCCTGATGTTTGTATTGTGAGAGATCACGCTTGGATTTATTCGATGACCCTACAGGCCGACCACGAGATCGAATCGGATCTGGATCACCAACGGTGGGAGGTGGATTGATGAGGATCCGACTCAACTGATTACACAACACGCTTTGCTGATGAGCAGGGAGATTTCCATGGCGAGTCTGTATGCTGTCTAGTAGTGCCTCCAAATTAGGTACCTGCTCGTGCATAATAGGGACAACAAATCCTTGATCTAGATGCCAATGAGAGTCGAAGTGGGTTGGAGCCAATTTCCTTGAAGATGAGATGAGGTGCTTGAGGAAGTGAGCGCAAGGTAACCCTTGCGACCCAGAGAGTACGTAGGTGCATGTATTGGTGTTGTCCAAAGAAAGTGCCTTCTGGTATTGCTTGTAGGTCTGTTCGCATATCAGGCTTAGAACTTTGAATGATGAACAGAGGAGAGAAATTGTTACAAAACGTAGAAAGAACTTTACCTCAAGTAGTGCGTAGTGTGAAATTTTTCGGTTGACATTGCTCCAGATCCGAGGACGAAGACGAGATAAGGTATGAGTTTGATCGTATGCTATCTTTTGTGATA